TCACGAGCAACCTTAACCTGATAGATAGGTTGCCACTGCAACCCGATATTCACTAAAATTTCTTGCTACTGATTTTCAAAATCGATAACAAGGGTACCCTAAGTATCAGAGGTTTTTTTTTTATTTCGCGTGATTAACCAAAACCGGAAACGACACTTGATAAGTCTCTAGTACACACGGTATGACCAACCGTGCAGGCGAGAAAATTAGACACGATTTAGAAAATTGAGATGCAGAATATCGAGTGAGTGATCTGACTTTTCTGTTCACAATTTTCGCTTCGGTTAAATTGTTATGAAATGTTATGGTTCATGTATATAGACAAAGCCGATTACAAGGCATTTCGCGGAGCTTTTACGGTAATCTATCCGAAGAACTATTTATCCTCAGAATTATATCTTTATAAAATATGGTCAGTTATGACTTGTTTCTGTTTAGGTTAAAAATTGAAACCTTGACCCGAAGAACAAACTCCATGCCATTCCTCGTTTTCCGACGGGATCATTTGCGGTCCACATCGGGGATCATTTGCAGTTCTGGATCATTTGCGGTCCAATTTGGGGATCATTTGCGGTCTGGGGATCATTTGCCGTCGGGGATCATTTGCGGTGCTGTACAGTGAAAATAATTTTTCAGCCTAGTAAATACCAGCGATTTTCAGTTAAGTGTTAAAAAGCTTAAAGCAGGGCAGAAATATGGTACATAATGAACCAACAAGACTAATTTCAAGCAAACCACGTGACCGGCACTAAACGCGGTAAAACGCCTAAGACCAAACTCTAATTGGTCTTGCATCACATTGATTGATCAAGTCGATGGCACGAAATTTGCAACTAATTATATTTTTCTCTCGCGTTATTAACCCTAATCGTAGCCCTCAAAAACACAACTACGATGTATGCAGTTAACCTCCCATTCCACGGACAACCTTCTGAACTACAACCCGTTATGGAGAATGCGATGGGCGACTTTTTTCGAAGTGATCACTTGGCTTTCTGGAATACCGTCCCCTCGCTCAGCGCCATCTTTCTCAGTGATACAGCAGACCACCGAAGCTACATGGTTTCATGTTACCATGCTAACTGTGACAGTATTGCTCGTCTGACTCCTGAAATGCTTCAGTTCCTTCAGAAGACCAGTGACACCATTTTGGCCACGACTAATGACGTAACCAAGCTGTCTTGTCCGGAAAAAAGCGGTGGCGCAGTAGTGAGTCAGACAGGTAAGAAGACTCGGCTCAGGCTGGTTTCCAAGGCCCTGGAAAATAACGAGTTTGATATGTAAAGAGAACCTAGACTACAAGTAGTTCCTATTTCGCTCAGTCCGTCGAGTGCGATCGTAAATAAACCGCGAGGAAAACATGGCCGCGCGAAATCCAGGGGTTGAGAAACGCGATCCTTGTCCCCAGGATTTCGCGCGGTCATTTTTTTTCTCGCGGTTTCCTTTCGCGTCATGCGCATGCAGGACGGACTAAGCGAAAGAGAGACTACTCGTAGTCTAAGAGACATTGTATAGTTGTGTCACTAAGAACTGGTTTACTTTCTTTCCCAGATAATTGTATGAATTATTGGAAGGTAGCTCTGATTGGAATTGGAACCCTTTTGTTTGGCGTGTTACTGGCAGGGGCAGCTTTTGTGTTTTATCTTCGGCGAGTAACTCAAGACGACTCCCTGGTCACACGAGATCATTTGCAGTCAAGCTTCAATGCAGATAACGCGGGAAAAGTTATCTAGTTCTTATTTTTTGCCATCTGTTCTCTTGAACACACTTTAACATTTGTGCTAAGGCCGCCTTTGAATATTTCAATTTTGAGGGTTTTTTTTCACTTTTGTGTCCGAAATTTTTCAATCATGATTCTTTTTAACGATGACAATAGTTAACATATTTCAGAGCTCAGCGAACTGTGCAGTTTTATAATTTACATTATGCCGCATCAGATAAAAGGGTAAAGTACATGCTTGCCAGATTTTTCGCCGCGTGTCAATCTCTTTGTACCGTCTGAACGGTTCAATTACCACACGCTGCTCAAATCGACTTCCTGTGATTTGGATCAAAGTAGAGCATGTCAGGGGCGTGTTACAAGAAGCACGAGGGTCTGACAATCAAATAAACTCGAATAACGAAGGCGATAAAAATCCTGCAAGCAAACCATAGTTGTTTTGTTTTAAATTTGATTAACCAAAAAAATTTCATCTGTTCTCTGACCACCAGTCATTCTAACCTCATACTCTGTTCGCCGCTATATGTTACATTGCGAAATAGCATAGTTATACAGGTTTGTGTGGAACAGAGATATTCACATTTACTAACCTGAGTATCAGACCTTTCTTAGCAAGAGGGTAGGGTAATATCAGGCCTTGCCGGGTATTTCCTCCTCCTACCCCGCGAGTAAGAAAAGCCTGATACTCGGGCTACACATGTATTAACTCGGAAGAAGGGAAACAGTACTATGAACACAGTACAAACTTTGCTATCAGTTTCGCTGCCTCCTAGATCATGTATATCAGAGACGAAGGTCAAGTGGTGATCCAGTGGTTAGGTAGCTGTAGAGACTAGAGACCTACCAAGAAAAGCTTACGGCATCCATGCCGGCCACGGCACGTTTTAGCCTAATTCCTCCCCTGCAGTAGCTTGTTGAAAATTCTTTTTGCATTTGCTTGCCTTTTTGATTGAACAAAGTGCCAATCGTAGTTTAGCATGCATATCATGGCGTTTTCCCTGCCATTGCCAACGATGCTTTTGCGTCGAGATCTGAGTCTTGCTATTTGTAGCTTTTTAGTCAAGATTTTCTCTGATTAGTCCCTCGAACCTACCATGTAAAATGAACAAAATATACACATGCAGCACTATAAACCTGCACTATATCATTGCCATATTATAGGACTAGTGAATACCGATAGGAAGATATTGGCTTGCGTCAATTTAAGTGTATGCTGTACATCCGCCAGTAATATCTGTATAAGTAATAATTCATTAAAAATGTCTCAATCTGTTTATTCATTGATGGTCAAGTTGTTGTTTTAGCATCGTTTTAGCAGCACCAAATATGGATCAGTTTTGTGCCACTGGTGCTAGCAGTGGTAGATTCTGCTATCAGTTCTGATATTGTATTGGCATTATCGGACAATCTAGTCCATAATTTTAGCGTGTGTTAGTAATTGTACATTTCCTTAAACATTTTCTGAGATGGCTTTGGAGTCC